ACGAGCTATTCGAGCTCTGTTATCACAGAATCCTGTAGGACTGAGCCCTTTGACTTTAATGCAATTATAAAGATTCTCAAAGTTAAGAATATGAAAAATGTTATTTCAGTAACGATTCCCCAAGATTTTCTTATTTATGCCTATTCCTATGTGTTTTGTAATACAGCCTCTCTGTGGGATCACGGTGTGAAAAATACATTATTTTAGAATTTTCAGCAGTGTTCAGTTTCTAAGAATCAAAGTGATACAATCATCAAGTTTTCTCTGCAAGTGTTTTAAGAATTACCTGGCCTAAATACATTTCATACAATTACATTTGAAACAAAAAAAGAAGAAACAGTAGTTTTGAGTGACTGGCTGGAGAGTTTGTAGTGGCTTCCACTGTAAGATACACATCTGCAGGATAAAACATGTTTCAAAGCTCCTTTGCAGAACTCCCTCATACTGCTTGCTGCTGAGTCAGGGTTGGAATTCTCATGCAATAAGCTTTGATACTTCAGCCCAAACAATAATTATACAGATAAGAGACATCATCAAAGTCAAACAATTGTAGACGAAAGTGCATTACTGCAGGTAAATTGTTAAGGTGGGGCTTTTTTAATCTGATGAAGCCTGAAAGATGGTAAGATGGTTTTTTGTTGGTGGAGTTTTTTTGTTGTTTTTTTTTTTTTTTTAATACAGCCTACAAAAACAATCATGAAAATAAAGCTTAAAATGACAAATTTATTATAGCTGTTTTCCAGCTGACACAATTTTATGTTACCAGAAAACTTTTAAAAAAGCATGCAAATAAGTCTATTATTAAAGAATCCAAAAAACGCATTCCAAAAAAACGCATTCCAGAACTGGTGTTCCTACACTAGTGATATAAGAGCCATTTCAAAGTAGCATGAAAAAAAAAACAAAAACACCTCAATTATACCTTTAACCATTAGCACGCAGTTAACACCTATTTGGTGAGACAATACTGCCCAAATCATCAAATACTTTTCCCAGTGTTTAGGCACAGGCCAGCTCAGAGGGAAGAGGGGGGTAGAGTTAATGGCACACATCCCTTTGGACAGGCCACTAAAGAGCAAAAAGCTGTTCGCATTTCCCCAGAACAGTAAAGAACTTCTATTTGTATTTTGGTGGTGCACAAACAAACCAAAGTTTGGAAACTCATAATTTTTTTTTTTTTTAATCCTAATGAAAACCATAAGAACCCATGATCTTATCTCATTGCCTGTTATAGTTTCAAATCCACATCAGATACTGATTCCATGGATTTCATTTGTTTACACATTGAAATGATTTGACACTGTGTTGTCTCTTCTGCCTTTTATTTAAACTTTGTTTTTTGAAGTTTAAAATATGTATAGTGATGCTTAGTCTGAGTATACAGATGAGGCATGCTTTCCTAGATTGAACATTCATACAGATGTTTGCTCAATAAGAATGAGCAACTGATGTTTCCGTTAGACACCATACAGTAAATAATACTACTTAGTGGCTTTCATCTCCACTTTTCATCTCCAACTACACATCGTAGCAAAACAGCAGCAACAAAATAGCCGATTGTCATAATTCGGCAGTATTACCTCCATAGTGCAAATCTGGAAACTGAAGCAGGGAGACCAATACAAGCATCTGGAAGCCCTCTCTGTTTGCTATTCTGATGAACTTCAAAGGACCTAACAGGTAATCACATTAACAAACACTTTAAGTAAATACCACTAAATGTGCTATCAGCAAGGCTGGCATCTCCAGGACACTTTAAATAATTGATTAGTGTTACACTGGACAGCTGAATCATCAACGCCTGTCCTTCCACTAGGACAAGAGGATGTCTTGTAAGCAGGTTATTTATATTCTTAATACCTTCAGCAGGAAGTACAGTCTGTTTAGGTTTGGTATCCATGAAATGGCATTTTTTTGTATGTGCTGCCCTTCATCTATAGATTGCTTCCAAGAGCAATCTCACTCTTAAGTAAGAACAATCACCAACCTCTTTTAGGCTAAAAGAAGAAAGACAATCTTGAATCGCAAACAATGCAAAGGTTTGTTTTGGCCCAAAGCAAGACCAACTCTCCATATTAAAGCTCTGTGTATGCAGTATCACTAGTTTATCTTGCTTGGAGATAACAAAGAGCTGGAATCCAAAGGACTGTTTTCTTTTATAATAAAATGTGCAGGTGGTCTTGGACTTGCCAAGATACAACATTTTTTAAAGAGCTAAACAGACATTGCTTCCTCCTCAGTATCTCTCTTAATTTCACAACATAACATTCATGATCATCAACCCAGGACATAATATTAAATTAGTTTTTATCCCTGCTGTGCATTTTGAGAGAAACTGTTGGAACATATTACCCCCAGTGTATTGTGTGCTGTTAGATCCAAGTCCATATTTTCATGTCTGCAAATATTTACAGAACAAAAATACTGTCTCACTCAGCAATGCAACCCACATGTCTTTAATGCTATTCCATATCAGCGCTTCAGACCAAAACAAGACACAAACACCACAGAAAATTATAAAAGACAGAAATACTTTTAGTGGCCTACAGCCAACTGTGGTCTAAACACTTCACTGTGAGCTCATCACATGTATGCAACAGTTGGAATACAGCTCATAACCTTTGGCTGCACAAATACAGACCTTTAGTCAAAAAACTGAAGCAACAGTTTGGTTCGTTTGAGTTACATCGGGGTGAGTAGCAGCTGATCTGCTTTAGATGCTGTGACCCAATGCCCAGGTCCACTGGCCACACCAAAACACACCATCCTTTGAAGGGAAAAAAGCAGGTTTCCCAAGCACAATGAGACAGCAAGCCTGCAGCCTGCTAAGGGTATGTGGTCCTTCTGAAAGTGTTACCTCCTTAGCACACAGATGACATCCACTATAGGACTGAAGAGGTGCCTGACTTCGGTGTGGATGTGTTTCATTATGTCTGTAGACTGTAGGCCTCATCTGCATATGGCCCTGGGCAGGGCAAATGTAGTATGTAATTTCATATGGATCTGCCACTTTCCAACAGCCCCAGTACCAGTCCATCCCCATACCCAGACAGTTCAGCCACTAGAAGTTGCAGAAGATCATTTTAAAGGTACAAAGCTTAATCACAACGTTCAAGGATCACAGGTAGGAAAAGAGCAATTAACTAATCATTTTACAGAGGCTTCTTCTCTTAATCATGCCAAGAAGCAATTTCACCACAAGAAGTCACCTTCAGTGGAGTAAAACATCCATCACACTGCCAGTAAGATGAAATATTTATTTCTATTAGGGGTTACTGGTTTCTTCGCTGACTGCACAGAAGATTGGAGTAAAACACATTTTGAAGTTCTAGGTAAATCACTGCAGTTTTCTACAAAAAGGATTGTTTGGAGTTTGTCTTGGAAGCTTAGTTCAGAGACGGTCTCAGGTCTTCTATGAAGTTTAAGATGGCAGGCAACAAGACATGAAGCTTGACAAATTACATAATAATTTGAAAGGATAAAACAGAAATAAGGGATATATGATTTCATAACAAACACATAATTTTTCTATTAGATTAAATTTGACTTCTGAGACAGAAGGAACTGCAATTCTGTCTTGTCTCCAGGGTCATTATCTCAGTTCTAAGGAAAAGCCTCTTTACCTTCACTATGCCTTTTTTCAGTGACTAGGAAAGGCATTCAAAAGATTATTATGTTCCATATGGCTCCAAAGCTAAAACAAAAACACCTTCCTAAGTAAACTGTATACCCATTACACACATTGTATACTTGCTGAAAGGTAAACACTGGCAAATACAGCCTTGGAAATGGCTCAAGTGATGGTTGGTTGTTGTGTTTTTTTTTAAAGGGATTATAAAATATATAAATTCTGGCAACTGGAAGATGTTAATGTGAAGACTGAACTTAACTCTGCTCATTTTCAGGCCGAACATCCTGCATTTTGCTCTGCAAGAAGTTTCGCTGCAACATGCAAAAGCAGGTCCTCCCATGTGAAGGTGGAACACAGCAGGCTGCTCCCCAGCCAGAGGCTCATTGCCTTTCCTAAACCAAAGGACCTGGTTATCTTTAATCACGAACAAGTGGATTACAGAGGTGAATTTCAGTGCTGCTCTTCTTACTCAGCCTCCACATTCATTCACCACGGGGCCACGGCACATGGCCATGCTGACCGCTCACCGGCAGACCGTCGACAGCACCTCAGCTGTCCAGGAAATCCTCTGCCGGCGGCTCGCCGCGGGAAATGCGCCACAGTTCAAACGCGAAGACTGAAACCTCCCTTGCTCCCAGGCGGACAGTGTCAGAAAGCCTGCAGCCGCCCTTCTTGGTGCTCACCATCACCGGGCACCTCGCTCCCGCACACGGTGCAGAGGCAACAAGGGACGAGGCGAGTCCTAGCTGGGCACTTCCCAGCAGCCTGGCGAACAGCCAAAGCGCCCTAAGGCGACGGCGGCGCTGCCGGCAAGATCCGACGGCCGCCGTTCCTCCGCGCTCCTTCGCTCCCCACACGGCGCCCCGACGGGACACCCCGGGGGACACCGCAAGGCCCCGCTCGGGCTGCAGCTGCCGCAATCCTGCCGCCCTCCCCGCACTGCCCCTGGCTTCGGCACATGAGCGGGACGCAGAGGAAACAGGAGAAGCGGGTGCCGGAGGGGGCTCTCCGCGGCAGCTGGGACCAGGCACCCCGCGCTGCCAGGGGCGAGGTGCCGCCCACGGCGCGGGGTGGGGGTCGGACGCTGAGGGCTCCGCCGGCACTTCGGCTCTCGGGAAACCTCCTCGAAGGCGCCCTGAGAAGTTCGGGACCGCCCGGAGGTGCAGCCGTAGGCAGAGCGGTCCCCTCGGCCCATCCCACACCTCCTGCCCGCCACCTGGTCACACACGCCCCGGCCGACCCGCGCCTGGAACAGAGCACAGAGAGCCCCTGCTCACGGGGAAAGGGGTAGGGGAGCCCCCGGGTCGCGCTCCGGGCATCCTCTGCAAATCCAGTCCTTGAGAATAAAAAAAGTCAAAAAGACACTTACCATCTCGCCTGATATTGGAGGACCGCAGGGCTTTTATAGATCCGCTCTGGGCAGGGGCAGTAGTGCCCTGACGGCTGCAAAAGTTCGCACAGACGACAGCGTAAAAGAGGAGGAGGATGAGCAGTTGCATTGGGATCCGCTGTGAACGGGACCGTGGCTCTGCAAAGAAACTCGGCTCTCCCCCTGCCCCCACGGGTGCTACCCTCGCTCGGGTTCTTTCCCCTTTCACGGGCTTTTTGGTTGCTGTGTTGCGGGTTGCTTCCCAACCCGAAGCAGCAGTCACTGCTGCCGAGTTACTCTCCGAGCTTCCCTCAAACTTACTGCGCGCTTAACTTTCCGCCCCGGTGCAGGGGGCGGCCAGGCTCGGCCAAGGTGAGCCCTGCCCGTGCCGGGACCCGGCAGGGGCTGCCGCAGCCGTGCTCCCTGCTCCCCGCTGCCGCCCCGCGCCGTGCCGTGCCGTGCCGTGCCGTGCCGTGCCGCTCCGCTCGGCAAGAGCCGCCACCGCGGTCTGGAGCGGCGGGAGCGCCCCGCGGTGCGCGGCGGGGCCGGCGGGGAGAGGCGGCCCGCGGGGAAGGGGGCGGCCCGCAGGCAGCGGGGGGGGGGGGGGCGGCACCCACCGGTCGCGCAGTCTGCAACCCAGGCAGAAAGCGGCGGGAAGGGCCGGTGGTGCGGGTGGGGAGGGGCTGGCCCCAGTGCGGAGTGAACCTGACCTACGGGGACGACGGAGATCCCCGCCAGCAAAGGGGTCTGCACCCAAGTGCCCCGTCGCCCTCGGGCCTGCAGCAGCCACGTAAAGGTTACCCGTTAGGCTGGTGTGACTCAGTCACCGAGGTACACTGGGGCGGGTGAGGAGGCTTGGTGGAATAACTGCTGAAGAAACACGTGGGCTGAAGAAACTGACAGTTGTTCCTGGGACAGATGCATGGGCTTTTCTGCCATGCCAAGCACTGCCCAAAGCTTTTCATAAAAAGTTCATTCCTAGTACTTTAGACTCTCATTAAACTGAGTCTGATGTTAAAGATCGTATTAGAAGATATTACTGTCGGGAAGTGTTTAAGTCGAAACCAAAGGTATGTGAAGACTGCTGGTTTAATACACTTTCCTTCCATTAGCTGCAATGAAAATAATCAAGTGAAGACAGAAAAAACAATGAGGTTTTAAAAGTTCTCTAATAAATCCTTACCAATTCCGTTTATTTCTTAAGACGTTTCATACAGTCTTACTAGTTTAACGAATTGCAAGCATGCTGCTGGACCTTTAACACCATGAAGCACCACCTCACTAGTACAAAAAGAATGTCAATACAGTGCTGTATCAGGAATATTGGGTGAGTCTCGTTACTGCCTCTGGCTGTATGAAACATTTTCTCCAAGATCATGTTAGGATGACAATGGGACTGAAACATCTTGTATGTTTTAAGGAATCAGTAGGGTGCAACTCTGTTATGCATAATTCATAGTTCTTTATCCCTTTCATGTTCCTGAAAAATGACAGCGAGCCATAATCCTGCTCTCATGTGGTAGATGATGGAAAGGCTCCAACAGTGCTTCATTTTTTAGCAGATGTGCCTGTATTTTAGGTGCCCATTTCAACAGGGCAAACAGGAGGAAGGTGGCCAATCCCATCATCCTAATAGTAGCAAAGTCAAACAGAGGACATACAGCCAGTGAAGACAGGGGGAGCTCCGAAGATGTCTTCTGTTCCTTCAGTCCCTTTCCAATTGCATTACAAGGAACTGGCAGAAAATGTCGGTAGGATGCCAGCTACCTATCTCTCTTCTGAGTGCAGGTACCTTTTAGGACAAAAATAGGTGGTCAATACCACGACCTTTACCACAACCACTTGGCGAAGTCATTCTTCCTTCACTCAGGCCCTCCTCTCAGAGAGCTAGAACTTGTAATTGCTTTCCCTTGAGGGCATGCAGCAGCTGCTTTGAGGCAATGGAGGTGGAAGCGAAGGAAGGACAGATTATCTTCTACCCAGAAAGCAGACAAAAGGTGTTTTGTCAGTCTCTGAGCAGTTGCATCATTCAGTCAAGAAAGGGCTCTGTTTCCAAGACTGTTTCTCTTTCCATATCCACCTTCATGCATATCAATTTTCTTATATAAAATTCATACATCTTCCCAGGAGCTGGATCTGGAGCTAGACTCTTGTCATCTTTCTGGACCTGTACTTCCCTGGCTACACAGGTCTAGCTTTGACACAGGATTGGAACAGGCTTTCTCCTAAAATTCTCCACAGCTCTTTGGCTAATGTGTTCTGTGTCTTACTATAGACTTTAAGTTTAAACTTCCTCAAGCTGACCAGGGCACAGAACTGAGATTTTCTTACCTCGATTCTTTCTTTTAAATATTGTACATACTCTTTTTACACTGTGATGCATAAGAGAAGTTCCTGTTTCTGGAGCACAGGTGCCTGTTGCTTAGAGAACTCTCAAGTAAAACAGCATGGGACCTCATAAATTAGACAATGATGAAAACAGGCAAGTAGATTCCACCACCGATGTCTGATACATATCAAGAGAAGCTGTGTATAACTCCTATCATACTTTCATGGTACATTTCTGTTCCTGCCTGTGCAAAGCATCTTTGTTCTAAAGCAAGTAATATTTTTGTAGTACAAGAGACAAGTATTTTTCTCAGGTCAGGAAACACCAGGGAATAGTACTGTGGGGTTCCAAACAAAGGCCTGGCTTTATCAATTCTCAGGTATTTATTTTACCCCTGGTATCAAAAAAATCCCAAAATTTTCCATTTACTGTACAGTTGTACAGAAGATTTTGGGATAGAGCAACAAGACTGACACACATTGATGTACCTTTGTAGAAAAGGCCTGCACTTCTATGGCTGTTGCTACAGCTTCTCAATTCACTTTGAAAAGCACTAAGCCCACTACAATGCAAAATAGTATCATCATAATAAGGTGTCATAGAACCCCATGTCAAAGGGTGTGAAGTTTGGATTATGCTTAGGCAGTTTTGTGAGCAAATCCCTGGATCTTCATTTTCTGGAGAACATTCTAGGACATTGGCTAATCTGCATTCTAAGGGTTTGGGATAATTTAAAGCATCAGGTAATTTCTATATGAAGACTACAGCAAATCATGATTACTGCACAAAATTACATACTGACGTATAAGTGTGATGACCTAGGTAATTACAAATCTGTCAGCCTGACTGAGATCCTGATAGCATATTGTAACAGTTGATATGAGACTCAATTAATACAAATTAAAAGAAAAAATAATATAATTGGTGCTAGTCAACCTGGAAAATCTTATCATGCTAACTTGAAAATCTGGTTGACAAACAGAATAGCGTCAAATTACAGCTTTCATAAGGCATTTGACTTGGTACCACACAATTTAAATTGTATGAAATGAAAGTCATGCATACTAAATGCCTTCAAAACTCATTAAATGACAGGTTTAAAAGTGTTTACTAAAAAAAGGAAACATTATTAAATGGGCTCTTTGCAAGATAGTGCCACATAGGCAGATTTTTGCTTCTGCATTGATTTGCACTTCCAACAATGACTTGTGAAAATGCAGTCATCACTCATGACTTTTGCAGATGACAAAAACCTTGGGGGAGTAGTATGATGATTTATAGTATTGGTGTTATATAGTGATATTACACCAGTACTATGAATACTGTGGGTACTGGTAGACCTGTAAAGCTGAGCCCTGGCATAGTTGATGCTTTAAAACAGCCAATGGCAGCACTACCCAGTGCCTGTAGCATTCATCTCACCTCATTTTAGTCTTCTGAAAGTGTCTGGTGCAAGCTAGACACAGAGGTTCTCATTGCTCATAGAGAAAATTGGATACCCATCAGAGGGCACTCTAGCCCAGCGGTTTTAGGCAGTTGGGCTGGGATGGGATAAATTGTTTTCTGGAAGGTCCAGTTTCTCTCCGCTTCCTATAGAGAGAGCATAGGGAACAAATACATTCATAGCTACCAGCTAAGTAGCTAAGCCCAGAAAGCACTGATGCAGAAAAAGTTATGGAGGTGAATTAGCAAGGAACTCAATGGGTTACCCCTCTGATACAATTTGCTGGTTGGGAGATTCTCCAGTGTCACATAGTTGGGCCATGGAGCACAAATGCGCTGTGTGCCCCTCCTTAGAAGACTGAAAATGTGGTGATTAACTAGCAAAACCCAAGATTATGTGCTTTATGACTGTAATCCTTGGATATTTATTTGAAGAGGAAAATATCTATTAGAGTAGGGGCATTATGCTTTCTTCTGTTATTATTAGAATGCTGCTTCATGTTCCTGTGAATATAGCCTAAAAAAGGACTATAATAAAGTGAAAAACACTGAGAGAAAAACCACAGGATTGGATAGAGGCTGAGAAACCTGTCATTAAGGGAAAAGCTTAAAAATGATGAACCATTTAGCTTGTCAAGGAGAAAATCAGAAGGGTCACAGCTATTTTGCAGGGGTAGGATATTGATTCTAGAAGGCTATTTTATCTAGTGAGCAGTAACATCAAGGTGAAAGTCGGAGTTAGACAAATTAAAGTTAGAAGTAAAAGGCATACTTTTCAGTGTGGAAAGCTATGGAGTGTCAAAGTTGTATATTTTTCATCACTGAAAATTTGAAAGGCAAGATTTGATGTTTTCCTATAATGAGTCAAGTGTTTTCAATCTGTACTTACGAACTTGTGGATTCTACTGATCACTTCTAAAAGGTCTATAAAGGTGACAGAGAAGAGTATGATCATATATACCATACTACAACCCACAGATGAAATTTCTAAGTGATTCTGGAGTTTACTGGAAAATTACAACTAAAAAAAAAAAAAAAAAATCTCCAGGGATTAATTCAGGGCAGCACTATGATTTCTGTTATATAGGAGGGCAGCAAGTGATGGAAACAAACCTGTTCCCCAGTTTAGAATCTGTGACTGATTTGAGAATCGTCATGGTTTAAGCCCAGTCAGTATCTCAGAACCACACAGCCGCTCGTTTATTCCCCCGTCCTTTCTTCCCCGTTCCCAGAGGGATGGGCAGGAGAATCGAAAGAATGTAACTCCCACGGGTTGAGATAAGAACAGTCCAGTAACTAAGGTATAACACAAATCACTACTGCTGTCACCAGTAATAATAATGACAAGGGAAATAACAAGGGAGAGAATACAACCACTCAAAACCCGCCGACCAATGCCCATCCTGACTCGAGCAGCGATCTAACCCTA